TGTGATTACAGAAAACAATTTGGGTATCAGTAGGCTACTTGAAGTGTTATGAATAATCACTAAACTTTTATATTTACGAGCTTATCAAAATGGCTCAGATCGTGAACTGAATGACGATTAAAGATTAGCTGACAAGTTGATTGCAGTCTTGATCAACTAATTACGATAGGTGACATCTTCAATTAGTTTTTACATCCTACTGACCTACATCAAGGGGATTAAAATGTCCGACAAAGGAAAAATCACAAATTATTTTCAAGATGAAGATAAAAAGGAAATTAGACTAAGTAGTCAATCAAGGCAGGTGTATACTGCTATATAATTGGGTTGATCACTCAATCAATCCAGCCTATTATTAGTATTATCAACGATAATCAAGGTTTGTATACCCTCAGTATAGTCAATAGTTTTGGAATTTTGAATACCGTTATGATTCACCATAATGTTGATATTCGATTGTGCCCATCATAGGCGTACGGGCTCGATGACAGTTAGGGGGGCAGAACCCGAAATGCCCGAAAAAAGTTCGGGTTTACAGACAGCGGCGCCGGCCTTCCTCGAGATTTCAGGCACTTTATTTTGCCAAGTAGATGAAATAATTTTTTTTTTTCACTTTACCCGTATGCCCGAAAATTCAGCTTGCACGAAAGTTAGGCGGGCAGTTGCTCCCCCTGCCCCCCTGGCTCGTACGCCTATGGTGCCCATCTCTTTTTCCTGCATCTAGGCCAATGGTTTGCATTATCATGTATCTTCTGCTGTAAACAAAATCTTAATCCTTCTATAAATGCATCACACTTATTCCTTTAGTCAATTTGAAACGGTGAATTTCTAGAATTTTCAGTTAACTTCTCTTACAATGTTCGATGACATTTGCAAAATTAGGTCACTAGTTCCCGAAATAATTAATCACATCAAATATTCTTTGTAAGTCTTTTTTTACATTTTGGGGGACGTAATTCTTGTTGTATAGCTGTATAATAATGTTATTGAAATCTGGCTTGATAGGGCTTCCACTTCAAAATTTTCACAGTCCTTCATTTTTGATAACACACAAAAACATTACAATTTAAATTCATATTTCATGTTTTTATTTATGGTAAGGTATCGTGAATTCGGGTGTCTATACCACTTTGTAAGCATGGTGTACACAGAAAATGATTACATTGGACTAAGAAATCAAATATTTGTAGGGCTTATAATAATTATTTATTGGTGAAATATATTCCCTCTTGGCTATTTGAAAAGCTTTTATTATCAACGTTTCTTACCTGGTTAAAGACTAATAAAGTGCTGAATTGGTTGTAGTAAAATCATTCCAGTAGCTCACTCATATTAGCACATGCTTTATAGAAAACACACTGATCTTGATCATTTTGAGTTGTAACACAATAACTTGGAAATGAAGATAAATATATAATCATTCATGGCATATTTTGGACTATCTCTTGCCACATTATGGACTGCAGACTTGCGACGTACATCCTAATAATTGGTAACTAAAGACCGCTAAAAAACTATAGTGCCCCGTAGAATATCGTCATACATATCCACTACATTTTTGCTACGTGAATTATCAATATTGCTGTGTGAATTATCAATATTGCTATAAAACCGCAGTGGAATACGTAATTTTCTTATTTTTTGGTAAGCAAGTTTACTAATCTCTACCACCGTAAAAAATTCTAATGCATTTTTCTCCCAACACGTTGCTTAGGATTTACATAATTTCTATGCTGTTCTTTTTTCAATACTACAGTTGGTTAGATAGCAGTACTTCATATCTGATTGCCCTTTTTTTCGAAGATCAAAATAATCTGGTCTACACCGTGTGTTATTGTAATAGAGGTAAAACGGCTTTGTTCTAGAAAATTCTTATGACACATGGACAATAAGTGGGTGTTCAAATAGAGAATGAATAACAATTAATCATGAGATTTGGTGGCTTCTATAGTGTGCATTATTCTGTACAGGCTGTAGAATTTTATAGTTTCATAGAGGAGGTCAATTGTAGCCATATTTGAAAATTATGTCTTACACTGATCTATTCTGTATTTAGGACTCATTTCTAAACCTTAAACGGTCATTATTTATCATGCAATATCTGTGGTTCTTTTTTGCTATCTCTGGGTGCTGTTACGTAAACACTCATATGAAGGGGCAAACCAGTTAAGCTATCCCAATATATGAATTTTAAATTCATAAAATGGCCCCCTGGTATGAAACAAAATAGATAAATGGCATATTATTACATTTCTTTTAATCTTCATGTTGAGAGTAATATGCCCCATTACTGTGCAAAGAGCCACACACAAAACAGCTCATGCTACTTCGCAAATCCGACTCCAGTAAACATAGCTTCCTCTACACAAAATCAGGCAGAAATACAACATAAAATGAAATGCAAAATCATGGATGAACTAAAACAAGTTCACATTAAGAACACAGAAAACTGTAAAGTAGAATAAGCTATAGCCTTCAAACTTCCACTGAAGTCCAACACTCAACAATTTAAATTTGACATGAAAACTTTCATATTCAATTATATTAAAACATTCTAGTCTAGTGTTTCATGCATTATGAGCAGTTTTGTTTTTGATTTAGTGCTTTATAAATGGACATGCTATTATTTTTTTTCATACAGTTTTGAAATAATACAGTAGAAACCAGGGCTGGGGTAATGACGTAATGGTAATGGAATGTAATCATTACATTTTTTAAGTAATGGGCATGTAATGAGTAATGGAAGATTTCAAAAGTAATGAGCAATGGAAATGTAATTAATTACATTCCAAAAATCATGTAATGGTCAATTACATTTCAATTATTTTTCAATTACATTTTATGGCACATATAACTATTTCCAATATGACTGGCCTCAAATTGTATAGCACTAAAGAAGTAAATTAAGTGTATCTGACACAAATTCAATTCATTATAGTTCTGAAAAAAAATTAAATCAGTTTTAACAAAGTATAATAAGAGTAAAATAGCATTAAACATTTTCTTTTATATTTTTTTTTTATGTACATGTAAGACCCTTTTTTCCATTCTGACAAGCTATCAGGTGCAGAAAATTAAAAGCCGTTGTTGGCACATTCAATTACTCACCAGCAGATCAGCGAATCGTTTCTGAAATCATGTTATTTGTGTAGGGAAGTCAATGGGGTTTATAATCTTCTGAACAGAAAACACATCTTCTTGTTTCAGATACTTATTCAACATACACACGCAACTATCAACAAAAGATTGCGATACTGTACACAATAGACCCAGTTATATACATTAAAACTACATTTATTGAATTACCTTGACAATTCTGACAACCTCAAATATGATTCCTGACTGTGTAAGTTGTGCAATGGGGGTATGGAATTTCAGTTTAAAATTGTTGTAAAGAAATACTTCTTTACAAATCAAGAAATGCAAATATCTGCATTCAAATTTTAAACTTTGAATTGTTTTAGGGTTAATGGGCAAATAAACATGGTCAGATAAACACATCAGTTATTTCTAAGGATTTCCAAATTATATCTCAAAGACATGTTCCCTAGAAAATACTTATAAGTTATCGTCATTTGTTTGAGTAGTTTGATGCCCTAAATTTGTTGGTTTCTTTTTTTATAGTAGTGGTATATTATTTGTAATGACTACAAAAAATCAAATAAGCTCACAATAAATTAAAAAAAATAATTACTTTAGACGTTGACATCTCGCAAATACACTATGTAATATATAGTAGTAAGAGTGGCTATTATTTAACACTAACATCTTTTCTTGATTTTTTTTATTTATAACAGTGACTGTTGAAGGCCAATATCAGAAGGTGATATTCCCAACCAAATCCCCACAATAAATTGAACAAATAAATTATCCCACAAATCAACTATGTGATATATAGATAGTGTCTTTTTAAAAAAAAACCAAAAAAACCCACTCATATTTTCTTGATTTTGATTATTTTATGATTGGGACGGTCGAGGAAATATATCTTAAGGTGATATTCCAGACCTTTTATTGACCTTTTATTAAGTTGCCCTATAGTAAATGACATTATAATTATAAGCTAATAAGGACCTCAAAAAGTAATTAACTTATCTATGAAGAAATGATATAAAGATCTTAAAGGACAATATTGGTGCCAGTCATTATCAGAGCAGAAATTCGCCCATATATCTGTTATCACCCGTCACTTCATTCAGTTATATAAAGGGATAACTCGTGTTTTCCTTTTGCGTTCGTCACTTCCTATTGTTGAAACATTGATTACTCATCTATCGTAGCAATGATCTCTGTGATAAAATAATATTTGGAACGTGTTTTAACCAGTTCTATCACATATGATGATAATGACTGGCACCAATATTGTTCTTTAAAGCGAGAATTTCAAATTTTCTAAGAAAGTCAAAACATAATTATTTCTATGTCTTTTGCTCAATAGGTTATCAAATCACTATTATATGATCATGGGCATTATTTCCCACCCTTAAAAATCTATGACACAGGAAATAACAACACAATTACCTCCCCTGTTTTGCTATTGACAACATGGGGCAGCCATTTTCCAACGTTGGAATTTGAAGTTAAAAAAGATATTTCTGCCAATTTCTCAGCTGGCAATAGCGAATTATAGGATTAATAGGATTATTCTTTAACAAGGTAGGACTGTTTATGGATACCATCTATTTTAAGGCTTTATTTCTATTTTATGGCTTTATTTTCATACATTTTGAAAATATAACTTGAAAATTTGCAATTGCAACTTTAAGTATAATGATTGCAAGTATAATGAAGTATTAACTAGGACAGAAAAGAGATGATAGGTTATTATCATCTAGGAAAAATTGTATACTATTGGTTACAAAAATCTATGTTAGTCAATTTTATAATAAGAAAACAATCTCATATACCAATAATTTTCACTGCATTGTTGAGTTTTAAATAATGCACATTTCTATAATGTCTTGATTTATTGTGAATAAAATATTTAATCAGTGACTCACTGTGTATGTAGTTGCTGTATCTTGTCGTAGTTTATGATCAAGGTTGACAGATTTAACTGGTATTGTTTTTTGAGCTTTAACAGTTAGTGATCTATCTTCTAGTGATATTCTACATTCCATGTCTTCAGAACTGAAAAACAAAGTGTTAAAATTATAAACTGCTTTTAATGAATTTTCTTGATTTTATTACAACGGTAATTTGACAATTCTGGTCTGGAATGATTGCCCTTTAATTTCTTAACATCAACAACCTTTGAGAATGACATAGATATACTGTAAGATATATTACGAATTGGGAACTAATTTCAGTGCATGTTGCAAGAAATTATACTCATATTAAGTTGCATTTCTAGCCTTTTTTAAAATGAAGAATCCACAAAACTCCCATTTATTAAACATACCTAACAGGATAAGAAAACATTATTTACATAATGTCAAATCACTATTGACATTATTTATTCCTAAAGGGTCCATTTCATTTCAAATCTAACATTTTATTAGCTAAAAAAGTTATAAATATCATGAATTGTATTGCTCTCATGATACTGTACCTACAATAAATTCACAGAAATTAGCCTTGTAATCATTGGAGCGATGCAAGATTTGACAATATATGCATTAAAATCTCAATCTGATTAAAACACAGATCCTATTTTGTTTTGTTTTTATAGTTAAAATTTTGTTTTACTTGTCTTTACCACACTAGGATCTGGAAGAGAGAGAGAGAGAAGTGGGGTTTAACGTCCACTCGAAACAAACTAGGTCATTTCGGGACTAACATATGGTTTAATTTTATTTATATAATTCGCTTGCGCTTAGGGGTCTTTTAGCAGTGGGAGGAAACCGGAGGCCCCGGAGAAAACCCACGAGGTTGGACAGGCGACCCTACTCCTTGCCACGTACAACCGGGGATGCGAAACCACGCCAGTCGACTCAATGACAGGCTTTATGATACAGCGCGCGCATGCTAACCATTCAGCCATCCAACCCCCCAGGATCTGGAAGAGTTGTTATCATGACGTGTTCTGAATGATGTGAGCTATTAGCTAATGAAACGGTCTGTTACGGTGAGCTTTAGGCGTGTTTTGCACGGAACTGTGGGTAATCCACTATTAACATCAATGCTGATTGGTTAAAATCAAATGTCTGATGCCATAGGGTCAAAAGCTGCTCGTATGACCTCTGACGCGACCTATCGCTCCAACGGTCAGATCTTCATATAGTGTAGGCCATCGAAAGTATAAAAAAAACGAAATGAAATATAGATCGGTATTTGAATCAGATAGTTAAAATCTTTAACATTATACAATTAAAAAGCGCATGATTAAAGAGAGTTTAATAAATTTGTTGTCAAGTTAACCCTTTCGTTGCGTCTACCCGGTAGTACTGGATATTATAAAATGTCGTTAAAATGCGCGTACCCGGTATTACCGGGTACTCAGTATGGCCCTCGCTAGAATTAGCACCGTAGCTGCAAATGCCATCTATTGTATTTTCTATACACTAGAACATATTTCCACATGTTTCAAAGCGGCAATCTGTAAAATGGCAGATTGGATAGTGACAACATAGACGATGCAATCTCGGTGTTGATAATAATGCTGGCCTGCTGGATCGTAAAAAACTTAGGCAATTCCTGATATGGGACTTGAGGATGAAAGTGAAAATGAAAAAACCCCAAGATATTTCAATCCGCTCATGGTCAAGGCAGCGGGAGACGTGATGTTGTGTGTCCGTGGTGGCATTGCTCATAGCTGCTATTGACATTTTTGTCCATTTTATTATCAAAATCAAGAGAAAAAAGCAATATCCCTGAAGTATTTCATGGAGAAAAATACGTTTTCGTGTTAGCTTTAGTGAAAAATGAGAAATCCAAAATGGCCACCATGACATCACGTGACTAGATGATTATGCAAATTTCCAAAATTCTATTTTTGGCATTTAGTTCCAAACCCACTTTTTTCCTTAAAAAAGGGGCTAGCACAGGCAGTGGATTTACGTCTAGCATTGAAGGGTTAATTGGTTTATTGTTTTCCTAGCTGCACCTGGCTTGGAATTTTTTTTGACTGGGGGCCTCATCTTAGCTAGAGTCTACTGGCGCTCCATTTTTTTTATCCAACCACTACGAATCAATTCTAACTTAAGATCTTTAAGCATAGGAGAAAAATGGCCAAAAAACTGTTTTAAAGAGTGGAAACCTACAGGTCACACCATTTTACCAGTAGGGGAGGGGACTAATAATAATCATATCCCAGTACTTTGCCACACTTGCCCAAAGTCATTTTATCAATGCAAAGTATATTTGTCCCTTAAATTTAATCATTTTTGTGTTTGCCGAGAATAGACTCACTAAAGAATAGATGGCAAATCTTAGAAATATTATTTGAAGAAATCAGTGAATGATGATTGATTACCTTGAAGATTTCATGATAGTGTGTCATAAGAATAAAAGCAGACATTAAGTCTTCATTAGTTAAATTTTTTCCTGCAACACAATCTTGACTTGTGTCAATATAAAGGATTTAACAGCTTCTCAACACTCCACTACGAATCAATTCTAACTTAAGATCTTTAAGCATAGGAGAAAAATGGCCAAAAAACTGTTTTAAAGAGTGGAAACCTACAGGTCACACCATTTTACCAGTAGGGGAGGGGACTAATAATAATCATATCCCAGTACTTTGCCACACTTGCCCAAAGTCATTTTATCAATGCAAAGTATATTTGTCCCTTAAATTTAATCATTTTTGTGTTTGCCGAGAATAGACTCACTAAAGAATAGATGGCAAATCTTAGAAATATTATTTGAAGAAATCAGTGAATGATGATTGATTACCTTGAAGATTTCATGATAGTGTGTCATAAGAATAAAAGCAGACATTAAGTCTTCATTAGTTAAATTTTTTCCTGCAACACAATCTTGACTTGTGTCAATATAAAGGATTTAACAGCTTCTCAACACTCAACAAAGTTAATTTGTTGTACGGTCATGCTTGCAATGCTAGGAATGAGAAGATTGACCAGCAAGTAGCATTTCCAACACTCAACAAAGTTAATTTGTTGTACGGTCATGCTTGCAATGCAGGGAATGAGAAGATTGACCAGCAAGTAGCATTTCCACATACTTTTCATCGAATTTCAATTGTCAAGGGTTCTTTTACGTGCACCCCAGTAACATTTTCAATGCTAGTCTAACAGGCTCTACCCCGGAAAAGTGGGAATCAGGTTAACAAAATCAAAAGGTTCATACTTCTTTTTATATAAGATAGGTTGCCAGGCAACAAAACATATGCCCACAGCCGCTAAGTTGTCCGGGGTATCAACAAAGATTGTCGCAAATTTTTGTTGTTGTTAGAAATGAAAACATTTACAACACAGATATTTCAAAGTGATCAAGGGCCATAACTCTGGTAGTTAAAATCGGAAATTTGTGAAAATCAATAGGCTTCTTCGGTTCATGACCTTAAACACTGTGTATAAATTTACAGTCAATAGGATATTAACTTTCACCTCTAAAGCATCCACAAGATTTTTCAAAGTGATCAAGGGCCATATCTAGTAGTAATTACCGGTTAACTTTCGCCTCTAAAGCATCCACAAGATTTTTAAAAGTGATCAAGGGCCATATCTAGCAGTAATTACCGGAAATAGTTGAAAATCAATAGGCGTCTTCGTCTCATGACCTTAAACACTGTGTATAAATTTAAAGTCATTCAGATATTAACTTTAGCATCTAGAGCGTCCACAAATTGTGGACGGCAGACGAAAGACGACAATATATGACCACATTTCGATGTTGGCATATAAAAAGCATGTTGAGGTTCTCGTTAATATTGTTACCGATTGGTTGTTAAAGCATTTGTTAACCAACAATGATTAGGCAAAGAAAATGAGGTTTAGTCCAGCAAGGTTTATGTTGATGTTTCAAAGGGAAAGGAATCCAAGACTGGGTAACTAAGATTTTAAGAGATAAAACCTTTAATCATCAAATAGAGCTCAAAATCTATACATAAATCATTTAAAATTTTAGATAAACATACAACTGTTTAATCTTATCAAATAACATACAGACCCTAATATTGTTTAAATCTTCTTTAATAGCACAAACACGTTTACAGCACTTGGCAAAATATTCTAACAAGATAATAATGTTTGTTTTCTCTATCCATACAATATAGTTATTAGTGGATAATAAAAAAACCTGATAACAACAGGAAAACTTTGACAAAAGGTTTGAAGGAAATAATAGAAAGAACCAGAGACATAAAGAATGGCTATAATTTTCATTTTAATGGGAATTATAACAGGCCTGTCAATACATTCACCAGAACTTGCCAGAAGCAAATTCAACCATACTATCTCTGTAAAGAAAGTCTTGCTTTAAAAAAAACCAAAAACACAACTAAGGTTTAAGCAGTACAGCATTCACAAATTTCCAAAGTAAAAATGGACAAATTTAAGATTGAAATATTGACTCAGTAAGTATTTCTACTGTCACTGATCAGTTTCGCAAGCATATTGGAAGAAATCGGTATTGGCCGATATTCAGCCATTTTTCCGATATCTTTTTAAAAGGACTCAGTAAATAACTCTACAATATCATTCGAGTTGTGAACAATTTAATCATTAATCTGATTGACACTGGGTATGATTATTTTAGTTGCTGTGCTGTGAGCATGACTATTTAGTAATAATACAAGACTCTCGTAGAGGCCGTAAAAGGAAATAATAAACAGTGCAAAATCCTTACCGCTCTAGTCATTGTTTTTAATCCTTATTCACACTTTGTTTGAGAGTTCGGGTCTCACTATACAATTTTTTTTTAAGAATACTATTTCTGTGCATGTGCAAACAGACATAAACGTACAACAGTCCACCCGATAAAACATGTTACTGGAATATGGAATAATCCCACTGCATTATGATCAAAAAGATATAATTAGAAAATGCAGCAGCACGTTGTGGATGACTCTCTTCGATCCCATTTCAATGCATGCTGATATCGTACATCATCATACCGTAGACTTACACCAGAAATAAGAGATCACAAACTCGAACAATAATACCTATTTAGGCTTTTGAATTTTTATTTAAAATTTATAAACTATGAAATAAACAATGGTCCTCCTTTGATCACTGTCCCTGATGTGAAATAGTTCCAAATCATACTACTTTGCGCATTTTTTTTTTTCGTTTTATCTAACTCACTACGCAAGATTAGGATGAAGGTGGAAATGTGTCATATATTGCTGTCGCCCCCATCAATATGCTTGTCCATTGTCCACAATTTATCAACAACGTACATATACTACATTTATCATAGATCTGATTATAATTGAAATTCATATAATATGTTGTTTATAATAGTGAGTTGAAATTTATGCATCATTTAAATTAGTGAAACGAAGAAGCCGATTGAATTTTTAGCAATTTCCGTCAATAACTTCTAGATTTATCACCCTTGTTTTACTTTGTTGAGCCTTGTGATTGTTTGAACGACCAAACTTTTCATCCAATCTGTATGAAATTGATATACATTATCTATATTAGTAAACGAAAAAGCCTGTTGACTTTCAACAATTTCTGTAAATTACTTCTGTTATGGTCCTTGTTTCACTTTATAATCTGATCTGCATGAAATTGTCTTTTAACTGCCCCCAATTACCTACAAAAGAAAAAATATGCAACAACCCTTGTCAACCACTCGGATGATTTAGCTGATGTAGGATTATGTTTTGTTGTCTAACTCCTCCATTTTTAAATTAAATCAAAATATGACTGAACTGTTCTAATCTATTTAATATCGGAGAAATCTGATGCCATCGAGACTTGATTATGGCCTGGATCAGTTAAGTAATGTCCCAATTAATAATTTAGACAAGCCAACAGTGAGGCTGATGTCCCCCACCAAAATCTCAAAATAAATAGATGACACATATTAATTTATCGCAAATTTATTTGTTTCAAAAGTATCAAGCAATCAAACAGATTATCAACTATACACTAAGTTTCATCACTCTCTATCAAATAGAATCAAAGTTATCTTGTCTTAAAGCATCAACCAATGAATTTGCTTAGCTCTGCATAGTTTCAGCTCAAAATATTAATCATTGAACTCAGTCAAGACATTCACCTAATATAATAAACAACTACATCAAGTTTAAAAATTCTACCTCAATTAAAAGCAGAGTTGTTATGTTCCAAAGTCTTGACCAATCAAATTGCTTATCGCTCCTTAGCCTAAGAAGAAAATTCTCATCATCGAACTTAGTCAAGGTAATGATGTAATGAATCTATACTCAGAGTTTTATCGTTCTCACTTAATTATAACCAAAGTTATCGTGCCACAAAGCATCAACAAATCAGATTGCTTATCTCTGCTTACTGTAAGCAGACAATGTTTATCATCAAACTAGATCAAGTTTAAAAATTCTACCTCAATTAAAAGCAGAGTTGATATGTTCCAAAGTCTTGACCAATCAAATTGCTTATCGCTCCTTAGCCTAAGAAGAAAATTCTCATCATCGAACTTAGTCAAGGTAATGATGTAATGAATCTATACTCAGAGTTTTATCGTTCTCACTTAATTATAACCAAAGTTATCGTGCGACAAAGCATCAACAAATCAGATTGCTTATCTCTGCTTACTGTAAGCAGACAATGTTTATCATCAAACTAGATCAAGGCAATCACCTAATGAACGCCTACACCAAGTTTGAACATTCTACCTCAATCAGAAGGAGAGTTATTGTGTTCCAAAGTCTCTGCCAATCAAATTGCTTATCACTCTGCTTACCCCGAGCAGAAAATGCTCATTATCGAACTTAGTCAAGGTATTGATGTAATGAAACTATACACCAAGTTTCATCACTCTCACTTCATCGTGTCCCAAAGCATCAACCAATCAAATTGCTTATCTCTGCTTACCCTAACTAATAAACATCCACGCCCAGTTTGAACATTCTAGCTCAATTAGAAGGAGAGTTATTGTGTCCCAAAAACTGTGATGGACAGATGGACAGACAGACAGACGGATGAACCCATATTAATAGTCCCCTGCTTTCTTCAAAAGGCAGGGGACAAAAACATTTCAGGCCTAAAGAAAGACCTGCAATAGGCAGATTTAGCTCTTGCACAATGTATGTTTAATTGGAAGCTGATACTGCAATTTCTGTGAATATATATTAATCCACATTCGTATAGATGTTATAAATTCTGTAAAACTGAAATTCAATGAATTGGTCTGCAACTCTGCTATATACAGCAGTGTATTTACCAGCCTGGTCTTCCTTAATTTTGAATGTGGGTTATTTTTCAGCGTGTGCATAAACTTTGCAAGTAAAATTAATATTTTATGTTTTTATTTATGGTACGGTATTGTCAATTCATGTGTCTATATACCACTTTGTCAGTATGGTGTACATAAAAACTCAGCATAATAAATATTTATTAATGAAATATTAATTTTTAACTATGCAATAACTTTTATTATTGGCTTTGTTCTAGTAATTTCTTACACATGTTGGTAGACATTACTGTAGTTTATATATAAACAACATTAAAATGTAAAAAGAAAGAGGCAAGTATGGTCTATTTTAATTAGACTGTATTATTTCTTTTTTCACTAGATTATTGGAAAAAGAACAATGTAATATGGATAAAGTAAACATGTTTTATTAATATACACAGGTGATATCTCTGACTTTTGAACATATTAACATATTGACAATACTTTTAGTATAATTTCCTTATAATTGATTCTTTATTTAATTTTTTTTTATATATTTTTTCAGAGGATAGCAGTAACCATGAGTTTATGAAAGCAGGGATCTCACCAAATACATGATGAATAGTACAAATATAAGTGACCACATCAGCCTAAATGCTGCCAGTAGAGAACAAGAATATCTTAATCTCATAGAATTCAAATTTCATGTTCATGGATTAGCTGGAAATTTATTAGCCGTGTTTGGATTAGTGGCAAATGTATTGTCCATTGTTGTTTTGAGTCACCATAAGATGCGTTCCTCAACATCTTATTATCTAATAACGTTGGCAGTTTATGATAATATCATTCTTATAGCTATGGTGGTATTCTTCAACCTTCCATTTCTATCTAGTCGTGTAACTGAAATGGAATCATATTTTCATACATATATGTATGCTGTGCCAATTGGATATCCCCTTTCCCTAGCTGCTCAAATGGGTTCAATCTACACTACTGTTGCTTTCACTGTGGAAAGATATATTGCTGTTTGTCGTCCATTGCATGCTGCAAATACCTGCACTAAATCTAGAGCCAGAAAAACCATGGCAATAATACTGCTGTGGGTTTTGCTTTATAACATTCCTCGTTATTTTCAATATACAGTTCACCTAAAATTTAATCCTGATAACAATATAACACGAGTTGTTCGAAATGAAACTGACTTTGGCCAGCATCCTATTTTTAGACATGTGTACCTGATCTATTTCCAACTATTTTTTATGTTTTTGATACCCTTTTTGATTTTACTGGTGTTAAATGTAGCGCTAATGAAGGCTGTGAAACGGTCAAGACAAACTCTTCAACAGATATCTTCAACTTCGCGTACTAATGAGAACAATTTAACAGTGATGCTTATATCAGTTATATTTGTGTTTCTTGTTTGTCAATTTCCAAGTATCATTGACAATATCGTGGTGGCTGTGGATCCACTTAATCGACGATATGAATCCTTTACTTATGCAAAATTCTACACAATTAGTACATTTATGATTGAAATTAATTCAGCTGTGAATTTCATACTCTATTGCCTGTTTGGCAAGAAATTTAGGTTGGTGTTTTTACATATCTTTGGATTGAGAAAATTCCGTCAAAGACTTCAGTATAGGAGTACATTATATCGGTCTCAAACAATAAATAGAGGAAATTCACATGAATTAGAAGTGTCTCTTGTGTAACTTTCCCCTAAAATATCGATATTGTTTCATTTGTTCATATTGAATAAGTATATCAATTTGTGATCTCAACATTTATTATTGTTACATGCTTAATTGTTACATTAAAATACCTGTTTGTTTTGAGGTTTTTCCATGCACTCTATATCCAGCACTGTACCAGTTCACTAAATATATTAATTCTGCTTAATGCCTGTTCTGGATTATCTGTCTCACAATATTTGTAAAATCAAATATTTATAGTTGGGTCATTCCATATCAACTGGACCAATGGTGGGAACACGACCCCATCCAAAAAAATTATAAAAAATATATATGATGTAGTATGTGGCCTTAAACTAACAAATCCAAATTTTTACCTCTCTAGGTCAAAAACTCGCCGAGATATGACAATTTGAAATTAGTGTGCTGAAACAGATCATAAATTAAGTTATTTTTTTCGGGTTTCTAATTTTGTAATCTAAGACAATTTTTGGTGCAGATTACGAATTTAGCATCACATTCAGCAATGTCCAATGCATACTTTTTGCACCATCAGGTAGCAAAATGTGGAACAAATGAACTATTCACTTTTATTTTGCAGGATTTCCACAGCCTCTGGCAAAGTCACTATTGTATTTCAAGTGCCAATTAAAGATACAAGTCATCAAATTCAAATACACATGTTATAGTAGGATAAATGAAGTTTCATTATCAACTTTTTTCAGAATTTTAACCTCTGTCCCACATGGCCAAAATTGAAGGTGAAAATGGGTATATTTTGTGCGTTTTCAGAGTGCATTGAATTTCGAGACTGAATATTTGGAAAAGTATATATTCCATTTTGTAAATTGATAAGACAAACTGACATTAACTATGCAAATTTTGGAAGTTGTGTATCCAATAGTGACATTTCCAGAGGCTGTGGACATCCTGGGAAAAAATGTGAATAGTTCATTTGTTCCACATTTTGCTACCTGGTGGCACGAACTGTGTGAATCACACATTGTGTGTGATGCTAAATTCGTAATCTACACCAAAAGTTGTATTAGATTACAAAGTTAGAGAGTTCTACACCTATTAGAAATGTGAGTTTAAAGCACTTGTAAACCTGAACAAAAATTACTGAATTTATGATCCGTTTTAGTACCCTAATTTCAAATTGCCATATCTCACCAAGTTTTTGACCTAGAGAAGTATAATTTTGGATTTGTTATCTTAAGACCATATACTATAACTTTACGAAATTTGGTCCACTTGACATGGAATGACCCAGTTGCAAAAAGATATATCATAAACAAACAGGATCATTTCAATGTGATTTTAATGCATATAATTAATCTGGAAATATGTGATCCATCTTCTCTCCTAAACAAAATATAATATTATACAATGTGATTGGGTGATAATAAAGACAGTTATAGCATAATAACAGTAATTTAAGAGATCAAAATGTATTCAGTGTTTTGTTCAACCCTGTTAAAATAGCTCTTGTCCGACAGTACCTTTTCTTGTAGTAAATTCATATTTATAAGATAAATTTATGTATTGTTTCATCAATAAAAAAATCATTCAAAATATATCCTATTTTCTAACACAAGATTTGAAAACAGACAGTTATCAATTCGATCGGGAAAAGGTGTCCATATTTCCTGAACAAACAATGAAATTTACTTCATCAACAAAAAATACCCCAATTACACATTGATAGATTGTCAGCCATCATAACGCCTGCTTAAAGCAGCTATATGTTGTGCATGTTGTAATGAAATATTGTCAGAATGTCACTATATTTTTTTTTTAAATGTGCAACAATCATATCAATAATTATCATATAACATAACTTTGGCTGTTAAGAAGATTTTTAGTTCAAAGAGGGAAACCTAGTTGATTTAGGCAAAATTTCCCTCATTGCACACTGTATGGCGTATGCCCGTCTTCATTAGCCCAGTTTAGGAGCAGAACAGTAGGACGTTAAACCCCATTTCATTTCATTTCATTTAGGTGAATGTTATAATGTTGATCAGGGTTATTCTGATGTGTTTTTTGATTAGTGATGGGGCAAGCTCTACATGTATATGATTAAAGTTTAATTTTGAAAGAATAACCCAAGTTGGCTTGTTTAGTAATTTTTGTCTGTACTGTATATCTGAACACTGACATATATCTACAGATGTAAAATTTCAACATGACAATGACATGCTCCAGTAGAGCCAGGTTGAAATGTGGCCCTATGATACTTAAACCCTTATGGGATTAGCTGACTGCAATACCACCTCGGTGGAAGCGGATGTAAAATACAACTAACTCATACACACAGTTGACTACATTTGAATGGCAATCCCTTTGAAAAGTTGAACTAAATTGATAGAAAATAGATATTTAATAAACCATGGCCACAATGAAATGGTAAGTGATGTTCATAAATTTAGTATATATGACAGATCCTATATATATGAAGTGAAAAAGTTCCTATTTTGGATGACGATGATCGTATCTCCCTTCAAAATAATACTATAAAGCGAAATGGCAGTAAGTTGCATTTGATAGGTAAATGAAACAAGTGGATTTTTAACTAAATTGAAACAGTGATAACACTAAAAATATACAAATACAGTAGATTCTGTATTAAGCAGCCACTCAAGGGAATTTTCATAACTGGCCGCCTAACGGGAGTGACCACTTAATAAAATCTGAGTGTTTGTTAGTGCGGACATCAAGTAAATTTTACACTTGGATGCATTGGGAACAAACATCAATACTTGCATCAGTAAATTTGGCTATTGCTGAAACTTAGACACAAATCTCTGATATATCTTCTGTAAGCGTGTCATTTTGTACCAACATTGATACTACTGTCTACCACTGTGATGTATTCGATATTATTTATCCATTTTTGTGAAGAAAATCCATGAATTAATTTTATTTTATCAAAAAGCACGTGTCCAAAAAAACATCGCTGAATTTGTCACCGATTTTTAGAGGGGTGTAACTCTGTATGTAATATAGGAGGCGCTAAAACTTCTGTTTAGCAACAAAGTGGCAATGGAAAATAGATACTAAATGATCGAAAAAAAAAATCGGCTTTGACGGTACTATTAGTTTATTCAATCAGTATCTAATAATGTTTCAATACGTGTGAAAACAATGATCAGGGTTTGTCATTTAATAAAACAAAAGATTAATTAACAGGCAATCCTGGGTTTATTGTTATTTTCACAGTTCGTTTTACCTGATCGGTGGGGGAATAGATAATTAACTATTAATCATGGGATTAGCAGAGGTGCTACAAAGTACGACAAGATGGTATCATTCAACAATGGCCATTGAATAAGCACTATTTTGCTAAATTTATTAGTAAAATAGTGACCGCTGGTCACGTTAGAGGAGTGGCCGTTGATTAAAGAGATGAAACAATATAATTTCTACGGGGGGAATTTATTGTGACCGCTTACAGGGAGATGTCGCTGAATAGCAGTGGCTGCTCGTACAGATTCTAGAGGCCTGCAGTCCAAAATTTTTTGAGTGGATTAAGTAACTAGCATATTTAATGTTCTGAAAGCAATACTAGTACTAATAAGCTTGTACTCACTTGTACAATTTATATTATGTAAATATTAAAATAAATATGTTAGACGCACAAGATGGACGAACAACAGGCAAAACGGATATGGCTCATCCTCTCATTGTCCCAATGTTTCACATCAAATTTTTAATAAAAAATCTTATCGACTGGGTTCATCATAATGACCCCCAATGCCACACACCAAAATATATGTTAAAAATCTAAGCCTCTATCGCGTTCACAAGGTGTTGGAAAAAGGGGTCGTAACTCTAGACTAAAAGGTGGCAGAATGCTGATTATCAACTGGGTTTTTACTCCCACGACATCTATGTTTCATTCCTTATTTCAAATAAAAAATCCTTGTGTTAAAAACTGTAGTATCTATCGCATTCACAATATTTTGGTGGGGGGAGATCAGACAAGAAGATCGCTTGGTATCAACTGAGTTCGTCCTTCCATGATCCTAATGCTTCACATCAAATTTGGAAAATTTTACATGGACTCAAATCCATTGAATTTATTTTTCGCTACTGGATCACTCACAGATTTGGGATTTTGGTTAATTAGCTAATTAATAATTAATTAAATAACTAATTAATTAAAATATGTTGAAATACGCCACTGTAATGATGATTTTGAATATACTGCTTCCAGCAATGCTTTCAGTTCAGTAATTAATGGAACAGTTACACAATTAATTAAACCCCAATTATTGAAAATGACACGTATGTCGAGATAAAGATTGTATCATGATGTTTTATATGGAATCCTATCGCTGAATACATAATTTTGTTACTGAATCAATGTCAACCTGGAGGGTTTAAAGTAATACGCTAATATTAATTTCCAATGAATTACCCCCCCCCCCCCCTATTCAAGCCTTGAAATAACCGGTTTAACTGATTTTCGGCCGGACATTTCAGATTTTCAGCTGGACAAATACTTGATGTATATTATACCAAAACCAGCAGTTGCCAGACAAGATACAGCCACATGTTGCAAGAGATGGATAGACAACAAGTAAAAACAAAAGCCATTTTCATACAATCAGGGGCCATAATCCAGACTGATATGGTCTGAAATGCGCAAATATCGAAAGGGAGTGAGATCTTTGGGATATAAAGATAAAAAAATTGTGACCTCTAGAAGGTCCACAACCTTCATATTACATACTTTTACACAATTTGTGTACAAAGAGCAGTCATTTTGTCAAGCAGTTACGTTTCGATTTTCCCGAAATTTGAATTCAACCTTCATTATATAATGGAATGGTGATATATTTAAACGTTTTTTAAAATCGGATAAAAATTGTGACTTCTAGAGAATCCACAAGCTAAAAAAACATGATTTTTTGTACAATCCTGGGCCATAATCCATGAAGTTACAGTCTGATATGAGTGAATATCTAAGGCAACCAAGATCCTTAGGTTATAAACATAAATTTCAAGTTTCATCAAAATGGTATAAATGTTGTGACTTTAACTGGTTTTAGAGGCTCCACAGCCATGGGATTACATATTTTTACACTATTTGTTTACAAGGAGCGACCATCTAGCTAGTAAGGCAGTTTCGGTCCAATTTTCACGAAATTCGAACTTTCATCAAAATAGAGTGAAAATTGTGACCTCTAGAGGGTTCATAGCCTTTCTGTACCAAATCTTTACTTTAAATTGGGTAATGGGGGTGGCCATTTTGTCCAGTAGTTTTAGTCAGATTTTCACGAAATTTGAACTCTACCTACATTATGAACAGTGATATATTTAAACAGTGTTTAAAATCGGATAAAAATTGTGACTCTAAAGGAACCACAAGCTAAAAACGCAATTTTTCTTACA